AAAAAAATCCTATAATGACGAGAAATTGCCCAGAAACAATTTCTTAGCATCACAAGATTCGTTGTCGCTTCCGAAATTCATTGTTGAATCCACATAGCCGTGGTAGGCAGCACTCCGAACGCATCGCTATAGCAAAGTCAATTAAACGTGCTCTGAACTGCTCACTTGCACAACACAAAAAAGCGTTTCAGTTTCTGCATTCGTCAAAAACAAGAGACCAGCCACAGCCGTCTCGTTTTGACGGATGTGAAAAGCCGAAACACCATTAGCACTAGTGCATCACATAACCATATTTATGCACGGCAAATACTGGTTCGAATCACATTTCAGATCCTCATGATTCGTTTTTGTTTCAGGAGAATGATAGCGAGATGATCCGAGAAGCTTTCCGCGTTTTCGATCGCGACGGGAACGGCTTTATTACGGCAGAAGAATTCCGCTACTTTATGACGCATATGGGCGAACAATTTAGCGACCAAGAAGTCGACGAAATTATAGCCGAAGTTGATATCGATGGTGACGGGCAGGTGCGTCAAACAGCTGTTTTCATATACATTCTTATGAGCACTGAGTGGATGGATGATGTATAACTGGTACTTGCACACTCTCTTTTCCGTTGTGTGCCCAAAATGCGCTCACATTCCTCAAATACTGCAGATTTTCCCGCCCCTTCTAGTGTCAAATCACAGGATGTGTTTAGTCCTGCCATTTATTTTTAGCCCCATAGGTATGGCAAATTTCCAGGCAAGTAACTTTAGAACAAACTGAGCTATGAAAAAGCTGTAGTGAAATTCAATAACTCCGCACTTAGGCACCGAACAGCTGCTACAGGCAGACAAAGCGATTCATTAGTGCTCGACGACCTCTCGGTTCCTCCAAGACAACATGCATTCCTCATAGCCCAGCGACAAGCTATCAACAGCCCAGGAAAACATCAGCATCTTTCTCTCATGAAGAGATAAGCCTTCGGCATACCTCCATCGAAGCACATGAGAGAAATCATGCACATAGGCGCGTCTCAAAAAGCTACTGTTCAGCGAGCAACGAGCAAGTGTTACTCATCCAGATCTCAATTGTTCACGCTAGCGGCAATCATTTCGTGGCAGACAGCAGCGGCGGAATTGACAGCGCTGAGAGACATCGGAATCCCTTGAAAAGAGCGGCGTGTCATCTCCCTCGGGAGGGCCGCTTTCAACGTGGTCTTTCGATTTACCCTTGACTGCGGCGTCTTAAGGAAACATAGTGTTCGAAAAAAGTCGTTGATCAAAGTGGAACAGCTTAAAGTGGGCTTGCACTAATCTCCCATGAAAGCGTTGTTATTCTCGGCTTTCGCCACGGCTCCGTCTAATCACCCAGAGACTTAGTTAGCGTGGGCTCAGACAAAAGTACACGCAGCTCAAAGTTAAAAGCACTTTTTTCATTGGCATCTCTGCGCATACATCAAAGTCTTCTTTCAGATTGACTATGAAGAATTCGTAAAAATGATGACAATGCCATAAATCGACGAATAGTGACAACATGGACTTTTTATCAGCATCTCAGCTTTGACGACGGGCCTCTCTTTTTGCGCCAACGTCAACTCATCTTGCGGGTTTTTGCATACATTCTTGTTCGTTTACAAGTTGTACTGCTTTTGTTATTGTGTCAGATGTACGTATAAACATTCGTAAATAACTTCCCAATCAGCATTAGAGCCCCTCATAGACAAATCCCCAACATATGCGCTATTCAACTAATAACAGAATCACTCAGCTCATTCAGAACTGGATTCTCATATTGATACACACATAGGTTCTGCGCCCATACCCACTCCACACAACAATTTCTTCATGAGAGGGGTGTAACGTGGAAAACAATGAGTTCATCGAGTAGTGAATGCGGAAAGGATTACAGCATTTGACAGACGACAAATGCGCACATCGAAGCGTTCACGTTATAGCAATTGAAGCGAGTATTGTATATCTTAGTAGCGCTAAGAAAGGGTGATTGCATTATGGAATTTCTGTGAGTGATGGAAACCTACTGCGAAGTCGCCAACTGAAATCACTTCTTTCCACTTCTTTCCAAAATTGACCATGTCCACTCAAAATAGCGTGCGGGTAAACAAACAAGATATGGGCACCACTTTTCGGTGATTATTTCTCAAAAAAAAA